GTTTTTAGGTTCATGTGAGGCTAATCTTGTAAAAACTGCGTTGTGTCCAAAAGGTGGCACCCTTCCTTTAAGCTTCAGAGCATCACTGACAGGTGGCATCCATGTCTTACGGTTTTCGAAATATCTCGAATTTCGGCTTTGCCCCAACTCCGGCATTGCCCCAACTTCCCCTATGTACACTAACCTTTCAGGATCACTTGGGATTCGGTGAAAAGACAGATCAGGGTTTTTCTTCTTCGAGTTTTTGCAATTAATCGCGCCGCACCAAGAACTGCCGTCCGGCGTCCGCCGCCATTGTGGCACTGGTGGCCAGGGGGGGTTCATCGCCATAGGGACACACGTACAAGGAAATTGCTACCAAATGCTGCCAATGTGACGTAACTGGGATGCTCGAAAGCTGATTGGTCGCTGAGATTCGAGTAATGTAGTCAATTCTGGCGCACCGGCGCAGTGTTTTCCGACCGTTGCGTGTTATTACTTTGGTTGTTACGCAAAGTTTTAATATGTTTGTTTAATAATATAAACAGGTTTTCATGTGTTTGAAGGTCGCAAAAGCTAAACATAAGTGGCAACCACACTTTGTATTACGTTTCGTCTCATATATCATGAAGAACAACCAATTCTTAGGTGTTGTTTTTAAGAACACCTAAGAATCCAATTCGAATCCAAAGGCCCGGGGTTCGAATCCCCGTACAGCCCAAATCTTTAACGAGTTTGCAAAAGATGACGGATGTCATCACTGTCAACCGTGGAAGCCGAATGGCTACCCATCTACGCTGGAGTACGAAAAACATCATCTCACGAAGAACAACCAAGTATTTCAAGCTGGGATCATGCTGAGGAACCTCAACCAGGGTATTCATTTTGCAATGGATCTAAACATAATCTGGCGTTTTTTAAAGTTTCCATTTTTGCAATTAAGCTGGTAATAATTTTTCAGTGCTCGCAGTGCGCATAAGTACCTTGACCTAACATGTTACACTTAACAAATAAAATGGTTGGAGCAAACACGCAATGTAAACAAACTAGTGCTACAGTGGCAAATTGAAATATAAATGAGCTCTTTACTTTTTAGCATTAAAATTTAAATTGTATATAGTATGGTCACATACTGCGGGCTGGGTTCATCTCAATCTCGTTGCAATGTTATCAGAGCTGTAAAAATGAAAACAAATCAAAATGTTTTTGCATGGTATTATTGTTTATTTTCAAATTGGTCACTGAAGTTATTTCATGGGTAGGTGCTTAATCTTATTCAACATTTATTTATTAGTTGCTTTGCTTGTACTGGCAGCATGATGTTAGCCAAATTTGTTTGTGCTGAGAGTTTTCTGTTTACGGGAAAGCTGAGGCGAGGGCGAGTAGGTCCCTGAGGAGGACCACTGCAAAGAAAGGAGGTCAAGGAGATTCTGGGAGCAACCTGCCTGCGAGCAACCTCTAGATCAGCCAGCAGGCACCTCTGACAAGTAAGTCTAATGGTTTATGTTTTCACTCACATTAAAAGTGTTCACAAATATCCATCAGTGTTAAAAGTTCTGGCCCGTCTTGAGCGACACCATCATTTTTATTCCCATTGTTAAAATGCATCAAAACATTCTTTTTGCCATGAGTAATGGTAAGTTTTTTGTCGGGATAAGGCCACTCAATCCAATAAGGTGATGTCTCAAGTCACATCCACTAAATGTTCTACTTCTGATAATGACCTATGCTGGTCCTAACTAGTGCTTAGAAAAAGCTGAGTTGTGTTTCAGTCTTGGTTGGTGTTTGAACATTTTTATACGCAGTGTTTTTTCTTCTTCTGAAAAAGTGTCATGCTAATCACGAGCGAATTTGAAGGGCATGCAGTCGCCAAACGAGACTTCAATAATCAATAGTAACGGGAAAATGGATTAATGCAAAGCCAAAGGGCATGAATTTTTCGTTGTCCGCGAAATCTGTCACTTTCAATGCGTAGACTAGGCTCATTTAAGTGTTATCGTTTTGTTGCACAATATTAAATTGCCAATGTCTTTCAAGTGATGTAGCGTAATACTGCTTTCACAGTGCCGCTGCCGGTGTCGACGCTGGCAGCCATGGCCGGCGCCGAACTGACGAGTTCCAACCTGGAAGCTCAGCGCGAGGGGCTGGCATTTGTTGCCGGCTTCGTGGCATACCTACAAGTGTCACCACATCGACGCCACCCTCGGTAGTCGGTCTCCTGACTTCTCGGGCGCCGCCGGAGACACTGAACACCGGACATGTGCATGGATCCGGGAAAATGGATCTGGGATCTGATCCCACGGATCCTGATCTCGGATCCGACGGGAGCATAGATCCAGAGGGGTGTTCACGGGCACCGCACACTGCTGCGTGCGGTGTGCGCGGTGCGTCCAGCAGGCGTGGGGGTAGGGGATGGGTAGGCGGTTCTGACGTCACGGCTGCGTGCGGTGGACGGTCCGCTGTGGCCAGTCCCGACCGGCCACAGCGGTCGCTGTGTGCGGTGACGGAAGGCTGACGTAGGGACGCAGTGGGCGGAGCTTGGAGGTGTGTGCGGTCCGACCGCACACAGGGCCCGTGAACAGCCCTCAGCTCTGTAATTTATCGAGAGATCCGTAGGGATCACAGATCCGAGTCTCATTTTTTGCCTGAGATCCAGTGAGATCATAGATCCTCACTTATTTTTTGTCAACACATATATCCCAAAAAAGCGCTTGTTTCAACTCACAAACGTTCTGTTTTAGTGATTTTATGTGATCGCACGTCATAATCCATAGTTTTTTGTCACTTATTGGCATAGAAACCTTTTAAAACATGGTATCAAATGTGGTGCATGGTGGGATCCACTCAGAACATAGATCCATGTTCTTAGTTTATCGTCAGATCATATGAGATCATAGATCCAAGATGTATTTTTCACGCCGGATCCGGTGGGATCATAGATTCCAATCTGTACTTTGCTTCGAGATCCACTGAGATCATAGATCCAGCACTCGGATCCATGCACATGTCTGCTGAACACCCTGCCGAACAGCTGAATTGTGACGATCAGCCGAGGCCAGCTGTTTGTTCTGTCACAAGCCTGGATGGCCGCTGTGGAGGAGTTCGAGCGGAACTTCTGCCTGCTGCTGGGGGCAACTGCAGATCAGGGGCCGCGAGTCATACAGCGTCTCAAGCTGTTCATCGCCGTCAAGCAGCCTCAGCTCGGCACCCGCGTGTCCAGGAAGTTGGCGAGCACACGTCTCCACCTCCCCCTTCGGTCCCTTAGCCTGACTGGACGAGGTCCGGCAGCTGAAAAGAGCCGATAGAAAAGTTGGCCATCATGCAAGGAGCTCTAGGTGAGCTGGTAAACCGGCTCGTGTAGCGACTACGACTCAGCGTGGTGCTGTGTGACTCGGTGTGGTGCGGCCGGCTCTGTATGGGTGCTGTGCGACTCGGCATGGTGCCTCCGGCTGTGTGTAACGGCTTTGCGACTCGATGTGGTACGGCCAGCTCTGTTGGTGCTGTGCAACTCGGCACGGGTTTTGTGCATTTCGCCGAAAATCATTCTGGATTCTAATGAAATCGGACGTCTAAATAGGCCGACTCGGCGGCGCTCTGAACGGCAGACGGCTTAAAAGATCAACTTGAAACTTATACGCCCGTCTAGCGGCATCGATTTTGGCGAGGCACTTTTCGGATCTCTAACTATGCTCCAAAATGCCGAAGATCCGAAAAGTGCCTCGCCAAAATCGATGCCGCTAGACGGGCGTATAAGTTTCAAGTTGATCTTTTAAGCCGTCTGCCGTTCAGAGCGCCGCCGAGTCGGCCTATTTAGACGTCCGATTTCATTAGAATCCAGAATGATTTTCGGCGAAATGCACAAAACCCGTGCACTGACAGCGTGCACACCTAGCAAACAACACGAAGACGGTCGAGACGCGTCGTTTCATACCACCCACTCTGACCTGCAACATGCGTGTGAGCCGCCAACCGCGTTCGTCAATAAGAGGGGTTTGCTTTATATTACTTATAGGCTTACGTAAAACCGTTCAATTAGACGTCGGAGCTCATGAGAAAAACTCGCCGCCCCGAAAATCGAACTCGGCTCCTCTAGGTGATATGCGAAGATCATAGCCACTGGGCCACAGGAGCTTGGTGGACGATCGGTCTGATTGACATTCAAAATTTGCAGGCAACTGTGTTTACCAATTATGCTATCGTAAGTATAACTTGGTCTTTCGGATGAACTATTTTCCCAAACAAGATCAGGGGTTTTAGCTAGTTGTAAATATTCAACACAACATTACAATTTCTCATCGAGTAGGTAAGCTCCACGATCCGCGAGTCTTCCGCTCCGCCCCTGCACTTGACGTCACCTGCCAAGCGCCGCTACAGCCTTTCACTCCGCCCATTGGCATGACGTCACGGCTCGGTCTCCGAAGACGTGTATACAGTTTGTAAATTTGCTATCGTGCCGAGAGCGCCGGGTCTGCGAGTCGATAAGGGTCATTTCACGCTTCTGTGTGGCCGACTTTGGTCCATCGTGATACTGAGCGGTGTGATTGCGCCTTATTGTCGGCTGTGGGAGACGCATATTAATGTTTGGAAATATTGCTTCGCTAAATATTGCTCTTTTGGTGTTCAGCTTTCACTGGAACTCAAAAATACATGTTTATGTTTTCAAGAATGTCTGGGACAGCCCTTTGAATAAAAATTATTAAGTTTTTACAAAAACGCAATTTACAAAAAAAAAGGCCATCGATCGATTTGGATCATTTTTGGATTCAGCTCACCGTCAGATTTCGAATGGTATATATCGTTTCTTTTGAGCCTGAGATGACCTTCCGACGAACCGTGCAAAAAGAGGGTTGGCAGACGGTTCACGGCGTGACAGATGATCGCACCACATCCGATGGATTACGCTATATTTTAAATTTAGTGCCACCGGCGCGGTACTCTGGTCGCTCAGCATAGCCTGCCGCTGGGCCAGTGTCAGGAACCACATCACGCGGCTGAGCGCTCCAACAGCGGAAGATATTGAACAGTGGTGCGGCGACTTTATTGGCCTCGTCCGTCCTCTGGGCCTCGGAATTCGACTACCGGGGTGACGGTGCCAGTGGCGGCAGTCACGATAGCCACTGCCTGCTCATGTATTACGCCTGCCAATCCGGTGCCGTTAGTCACTCTGTGCAGCATGCCACCGCGACACAGCGACTGCTCAGCGGCGGCGCCGCGGTTAGAGGTCGAGCTCGTTGGCGTCGCGTTCCAGCACAACCAGCGTGCGGCCATAGCTCGATGGTGCAGACCTGTGGACAAACAAAGGCGTCAGCAAGCGTACCTACATTTCCTACCAGCCCATAGCAGTCGGGCAAACTGCAGGGAGGCAATCTAAAATAAGATTAATCTAATTTCAGATTATGACGTCACGAAAATGGGCGGAGCGATGACCATATAAGGAGTGATAATCAATATTTAGATTATATTTCCGACATGTCCACATTAAAACCCTCCATATCGGCCGAAGAAATGCTCATATCGGTGAGATTTTTTACTGAGGTACAGACGAAGCTCGATTCTACAGATTGCGAATGGACCGGCACATTTGAAATTGGCACGGGCGTAGGAACGTCATGAATATACATATATTACTGACCGGGCCGACGAAATTATTTGGAAACGAGGTTTGCAAAATTGACGTAGGCCCGAGTGCGAAGCACGAGGGCCGGAGTCAAATTTTGCAAGCCGAGTTTCCAAATAATTTCGTACGGCTGAGGTCAGTAAGATTTTTCCTACATGCCTCATAGCTAGGTTAGTTTCGACAGGTTTGGGTGACACTTTTATACAATTGTTTTGTCCATATTTTCCTAACAGTGATTGCGCTACTGCTGTGGATAAAGCCTTAAAGGAAATTTATAGAAGAAAATGCATCAAAATACCTCACTTCAAAAAGAATCGTGTCTGAAAATATCAACTCAGAATGGCACAACAATTAGATATCCAAGGAACATAATACTTGAATGATTTGCCACGACATAAGAACAAGAAGAAGGTATGATATTCCTAGTGATTAAACGTGAATTTTCCCAGTGCTCTTGCAAGAATCTTTGCTTCATTTATGTAATCGTACTTTGTTGATATGCCCTATGGCTAAACGTTCGTTAAATACATTATATTTTCCATATTTTACATGTTTGTTTCGAGGAAAGGACTACAACTGCCAAATAAAAACGCATTAACTTAGGCCCAAGGTATCAGTGGACATATCAAACGAAGATAAAACAACAAGCGATAACGGATTTCGATTAATAGGCGTACCTATATCTTACCATAATTTCGGCTTTGTAACCAATACAAAATATTTCAAAACCCTTGATAAGCAGAGCAGATATTTACCAAAAAATGTTAGTTTTCTAATTTTACGCGGCAAATATCATGCAATAATGATGTCAATTATACCTACATTCCCTGTCAATTATACCTCTGGACTAATGCGATAAACTGTAGTTTAGAGGTCATTGCCCTGGGCAGTAAACTCGGGCAGTAAACTTTTGTTTCCTGCCCGGCCTATCAAATAACATGGCATTTTGACACCGACAGTTTCTTGGTCATAGTTTTACTGCCCGGCTCGTGCTGTGCTTAAGACATACCCCGGCATGTAGGAAAAGTGGGTGGGCCACCCTGTCAAGGGGCCTCCTTTTCCAGGGGGCCTCCAACTTTTGCCTCGTCCTGCTGGCTGCTTTCAATTATGACCTCCAAATCTAGCTTCTGAGATCGGGCAGATGTACCCAGGGGCGTAACCGCTTAAGCGAACAGTGCAGAAAGTCCGCACCATTTTTAAAACTTATTCCCCCTCCCATTTTTTTTTAGAATGTATTTGCCGCAAACGGCGCATGACCCCTGAAAACCCTTACACAAATGTCTTCCTCGTTTCCCAGGTGCCCCCATTAGCTTCATAGGCGCCCTCTTTGGCATATAAGCGCCCTATGTATAGTCATCAGAGACATCCCTATATGTCCCACAGTCGCCCTATTGTCGCATACAATGTGCGCTTATCATAGGCGTCTCTCTTTTATGGACACTTGAAGGCACCTCTCTTTGCCATGCCGGCGCCCCTGTTTCTTATGAATGCACCCCCATGGCATTGGTCAATTGCAATTTGCAGACCTCTATTGCATGTGGACGCCCATATATGTAGGCCTCAGAGGCGCCCCTCTTTCGCAGTGAGGCGCCCCTATGGGCTTCATAGGCGCCCCTCTATTGCACGTAGGTGCCATACTGTCTCAGAACCGCTCCCCTTTGGCATGGAGACGCCCATCTTTCGTACGGAGGAGCCGCTGTGGTTCTTAGAGACGGCATGGTGCTCCCAGACGCAGATGGGGCTCTCGGAGTCGACAGTGTGGGACCTTCAGTCGCTGATGGGTGCCCGCCAGATGTGGACCCTCGGAGACGCCGGTATGGGGCCCTCAGAGATGCCGGTATGGGCCCTCAGAGATGCCGGTATGTGGCCCTTAGAGACACCGGTGTGGAACCCTCAGATACTTCAGTGTGAAGCCCTTACAATTGCTGGTGTGGAGCTATGAATGCGCTGGCTTAAATCCCTCAGAGGCCGGTACATGGACATAAGAGCTCAGTGAGAGCTTGTGTGGTGCCTTCAGTGGCCTTGTGGAGCCGTTAGACATCAACATGGTGCTCTCAAGAGCCGGTGAGTCCTCAGAGTCACCGGTGTGGGGCCTTCCGAGCTCCAAGAAACTGGTCTGGGGCCCTCAGATGTGTCGGTGTGGGTCCTTCAGATGTACCTATAGAGCCTTGAGATGCACAGGTGTGGTGGCCCACAGAGGCGCCGGTGTGGGGCCCCCAGAGCCACCGATATAGGGCCCTAAGAGACACTAGTATGACCCTCAAAGGCGCCGCTGTGTGGCGCTCATAAACACTGGTGTGGAGCCATCACAGGCGGGTGGAGCCGTTAGAGGCCGGCTTAGATGCCTATAAGGAGCCTTCAGAAGCCGGCGTGGCACGTGGGGATAAGCGTGTCTACTTAGGAGCTTTTGAGGTGCTCTCATGAGCTCTGTGGGGCCCTACCGAGCCGAAATATGGCCACTGCCAGTTGCCGCCGCATGGCTCTTCGGACTATCATTCTCAGGGGCCTCATCTGCCTAGTTTGAGTAGAAGGGCCTCTCAGACCATCAGTCTCATGGGCCTCCTCTGGCTAGTTTAAATAGAAGGGCCTGTTAGACCATCAATCCTAGGGGCCTCCTCTGGTTAGTATAAATAGAAGAGCCTCTCAGACCATTAATCTCAGGGGGCTCCTGTGGACAGTATAAATAAAAGGGCCTCTCAGACCATCAGTCTCGGGGGGCCTCCCTAGAAAAGTGTAAATGTGGATAGAGGGCCCCCTCAGATTCATTAGGAGTGGACCTCTCTGACTATCAGTCTCAGGGGCCTCGTGTGGCCAGTATGAATATAAGAGCCTCTCAGACCATCGGTCTCAGGGGCCTCTTCTGACTAGTCTGGATAGAGGGTCCTCCCAGACCACCGGTTTCAGGGGCCTCCAGTGGCCAGTTATATGAACAGAAGGGCCTCACAGCCATCAGCCTCGGGGGCCTCTTCTGACTGGTGTGAATATGAGGGCCTCTCATACCATCAGTCTCAGGGGCCTCCTCTGCCTAGTGTGAATATAAGGGCTTCCCAGGCCATCAGTCTCAGGGGACTCTTCTGACTGGTGCCGGATTGAGGGACCTCCCAGACCGAAAGTTTTGGGGGTCTCCTGTGGCCAGTATAAATAGAAGGGCCTCTCAGTCCATCAGTATCATGGGCCTCTTCTGCCTGGTGTGATTATAAGGGCCTCTCAGGTCATCAGTCTCAGGGGCCTCCTCTGACTACTGTGTAGATGGATAGGCCTCCCAGACCATCAGTCTCAGGGGCCTCTTATGACTATTGAGGATAGAGGGGCCTCCTCTGACTAGTGAGGGTAGGGGGCCTCGGCTAGACCGCCAGTGTCAGGGGCCTAAATTTATTCTGACTAGTGTGGATGGAGGGGTCTCCCAGACCACCAGTCTCAGACCTCTGACTAGTGTGGATAGAGGGGCCTCCCAGACCGCCAGTGTCAGGGGCCTCCCCAGACCAATGTCGATATTGGGGCCTCCTCAGATCCACTAGGGCCTTTCAGGCCATCAGTCTCAGGGGCTTCGACTGACAAGTATGAACAGAGGGCCTCCTTGGATCCATCACGGCCCCTTGGAGTCCGTGCGTGGGGATTCGTGGAACTTATTTTTACCGAGTTTGTTTATTCTGGAAGGTGACGACGTCCTCTCAAATCGAGAAGAGGAGCCTCGAGTAAAAAGTGGGTGGGCCAAAACACATGGTTGGCCCCCCCCCCACCTCGAAAAGTGGGTGGGCACTTGCCCACCTGGCCCCCCTGTTCCTACGCCTATGGAAATTGGACTTTGGTAGTTAGGACATGAATAGTCGAGGTCACCGAGGAATGGGCAAGTGCATTCATCTGTTTTTACTCCTGTTTTATCGTACTCATTAAATGTTCAGAATATTTTTTCGGCATATCTGAGATAAGAAATATTCAATTATTCAATCCCACTATGGAAAGATGTGCCAAATACAACGCATTTATTGCAATTTTGCTACGGCGATTTACGGCCGCGATCTAGCGATGTCCGTGGCGCGGTGTACCCCCTCGGTAATAATTTTTTCCCGACGGTGTTTTTCGATGGAATGGTCCTTAAATGGTACCAAATTAATGGTACCTAACATCTTATTCACCCAACAAAATTAAATTTATGAGGTGGAAGTGTGGCGTTGCCGCGCTATCAGCGTACAAAACCGGTGAGTGTGTTTGATACGAAAGTGACGCAGCTCTACCCTCAGTCATTTCAACCCAGTTTTTTTTTTCGCGAAATATTGTAAGACATGACAATTTTTTGTTATTTTTGACAACTTTAGACATCATTAAACAAATCCTGAATCTTTGGTGCCATTTCATCAAATACCTTTGTCTGAGTGAGTAGAAATGAGTTGCTCGGACACCTCCCTGAAAATGTAAACATTGTAGGGTAACTGTGGGGAAAACGCACCCCTGGGTTAAACGCCTCCCCTAAAAAAATCGTATTTCTTATCGACGGATAGGTGTTTTATCCTGTCTTTCAGAACAGTCAGCTGCTTGTTTACGTAGGCCTCTATTTCCGGTTCTGCGTCTTGAGGAGCAGCGTGGGTAGGTGCTGATGTTGGTTTTGGGTGTTGTTTTTGTTGTTTTTACAGAAGATTCCTAATATTTTGATGCCCTCTTTATATCACAAAACTTGCTATTGTGCACATCACTCAAAACTGCGTTTTATTGTCATTCTGTTGAATGTATTATGCTGCGGCGTTAGTGGCGCGTTTTTTGTCAATATTTTGTTGACCGGAAATGGAGTGGATGGGGAAAGACGCCTACTCGATGCATGGGGCAAGACGCCCCCAGTTTTCTGAAAGGGGGCGTTTTGCACGGTGGTGAGAGTGCAGGGTAGCGCCCTGTAGGTCGGGGCCGAAAAGGCCTCTCCCCGTCCTTTTTTGCTAATATATCCTAAACAACTGCAGATATCGTCACCAAACTTTCAAGACTTTAAGGGCATCCATTTTACACATTGCGACACAATTTTATTCCAAAGGCTATGATAGGTTGACCACAAATGACGTCAGAACGACGTCAAGTTCTGCCATGTTCATCATTTTTTGTTGATGGATGGGGTGGGGGCGCTTTGCACATGGGTGTGGGCGTATTACCCAGGGTATGGGGCAAAACGCCCTTTTGTAAGGGTATGCCAAACCCGTTTTGGGGGGTTAAATACCACACGCAGGTGTCTTTTCTTGGTCTCAAAGCGTAGTAAAAAGAATGAGCTACATGATGGTGCCCAAAGGTTTAAGTAATCTGTGTTGGTTGAGTGTCAGAAGGTTTCGCGCTTAACCCGCGCCCTGCTGGGGGGGGGGGTGTTTTTTATGTAATGATTCTACTCTTTTTTCAGGTGAGGTTTTTTATATTCGCAAAAAGTACAATCATACCCTGCTCAACACATGAACACACACACACTGCAACCAAACAAACAAACATATGCATCGCCACATAAGCAACTTCTTCTCCATGCCTCCTCTTGGCACACCGGGCTTTACACAGCACCACAAAACATTAAAGTACATCGATGATCGGCAGCGATATTTGCTGGACAACAAGTTCTCTCCCTGTTTTCGCTGCTATATATTTCTCTACGCTGAAATATTTTTTCAGGTATACCTTAAATCTGTTTAAACTTGGTTCCGTGCCCAGGTTCCTACTTTGCCATATAAATAGCTTTCCATGCATAATACACGTTTGAATAGCCTCGACATCGATGCTGTCGGTTTGTCTATGCCACAGCCCTGTTATCATGCTTTTCAAAGTGAAATATCCTATTATTCCTAGCCTATCTCTGAGGCACAACCAAAATGTTTTTGCTCGGGGACAGTCCCAAAAAATGTGAGCCAAAGTCTCTCCCTGTGCTTTACAATGCACACACGCATCAGAGTCCTTTACCCCATACAGCCTTAATAGTCTATTTGTTGGAAGTATTCGATGGATAATGCGAAATTGAAGCCACCTTAGCTTAAAGTCATCCGTCATTCTGTGCACTAGACCATAAACGTCTTTCCAGGATGATTTACACATCTGTCCGAGCTGTCTTTCCCATTTCCGTTGTGCTTTATCCGGCAATGCTTCCTGTGTCTGAGTCACAAGAATATCATAGCTCCATTTCGAAGTACGACATTTCTCTTCTAACACACTAAATTGCTCTGGCTGAACGCTTCTCAATGGTTTGTCCCTCTAAGTATTTCCTTCCATTGTCTCGGCATTACGCTTAGCAAAGTTTCCCATGTCAAAAATGATCCGAAGTTGTAATTTCTCTGTAGTGCAATGCCGCTCATCAGTGATCGTTCTGAAACGCAATACAAACCTTCTATCTTTGCGATCCCGATTTTTATGAGGGCCTTTTTGTTAACGTGCTCTTTTGTTTCCAATCCAAGCATATGATTATGCCACAAACTTATTCCTAAAAATATCACTTCCTGTCACAATTGAGCATTTATCTTTCTCAATCACCTTCCAGGCATCATAACATTCCGACCAAAAGTCGCTATTGAGATGATTCTTCATGCTAGATGATGTTTCCATACAGTGAAAAACTGACAAATGATGGTTAATGAACAACTTGTGTCTCATTACTTCTTTCCATTTACTTTTGTGATCATGATTCAGTAACCTTTTGATCCATGGAATTTTAAGACTGTCTGCCTGCAGAGATACGTCTGGTACGTTTAGCCCACCATAATCATACTTGTTTTTCATTACCGATCGTTTTATCCTGTCTCTCTTTTTATTCCATATAAATTGAAACATGATGGTTTCTATTTTCTTTATCAGCTCTGGTCTGGGTTTTGCCAGAACCGACATCAAGTGAATTAGTTGCGACAATGCTTCTGATTTCAGTAGGTAGGGTAAAGGCGGGTAACAGTACGCGGGCGATAAGAGTACGCATCAGCTGTTTCGGTTGCTTAGCAACGCGGGTTTGTCGAGTTCATGAAGTGACATGAAGCCGCCAGTGCGTGCTTGTCACCAACGGAACGTGGGCGTTGAGCGGCGACGCTGTTGAGTTTAAGGCGATGAATATTATTTTCGAGCGTTATGATATTATTATGGTAAGGTACAATAATTTTGATACTTGGCAGTTGAGATAAGGTACATTTCCGTGATTGTTGTGGGAAACTTGTGAGGTTATCTAGGGAAATACTGTGCAGTGCAATATTCTGCTTGCGAAGTTTTGCACAACGTTTCGGGGTTGTTTTGTGCGCGAATTGCATGTACGGTAAGAGGACGCACTGTTCAGGAGGGTAAGAGTACGCAGAATTATACATTAAATCGAATATGCAGAAATATAAAATTATTAATCTATCGCTCAATGAAGTTTGTTTTGTAGGTATATCATCAATGGAGCACTGTGATGCAGATGCGTACCCGAAATTCTTCCAAATACGAGTTATTCTCTCTTTTGATTGTGCATTTTTTTAAGAAACACACGACATGATTATTTCCTGATTTATAGACTTGAAAGATCTATTTTATGTTTTTTTTTTGGATACTAGAATTAACTTAAATGCCTTCTGAGTTTGAAGTTAAGCATTTGGACAGTACAAGCTGCATAGGTGTGTGTTCATATGCTTGCGTACTCCACCCGCCTGGCGTGCGTACTCTTACACACCCCATATGGTAAGAGTACGCAACTGCAGCGGTTCAGAAAATGTCAGTTTTTGACCACTTCCATTTACGCTGAAGGATCGTTGCCCCATGGGTTGATGGTTAATTCAATGAACTTTAATATTCCCTATTTGCGATTTCTTTCTTTCAAATATTAAACAAATGAGAGCAAGAAATCCACTAAGTGCGTACTCTTATACGACTTCACCCTATATTTTACCGAACGGCGTTAGTCCACGGCCAAACCACGGTGAAAGTCTTGCTTCTAATTTACGTATTTTATCGGGGTAGTTCAATTCAGCCCCCGTTCACGAGCTTCAGAATTCCTTTACCGTGACGTCATCACGGCGCATGAATTTTCCTTCACCCATAGAAATGCATGCAAAGCATGGTGTGTTTCAGGCGGGCTAAGGAGAAATCTAAGGCCTACATGTGTTCAAAAGACGTACCACTAAGCCAATGGATTCTTCTCATTACGATAAATGGGGTTGAAATCGAAACATTCGGCCTATATTTATCTAAAATGGGCCAATCAAATGGTCCCTGCAACTCATAATGAAGGATTTCCTCTGCGTTGAAAAATTTGTTCCAAGTGTTTTTCAATCAGCGACAAGGGAAATCCTTCATAATTGCTACCAGATTACTACCATATTCCCTCGCATTTCTGTTGCGCATTGCCTCACAAATCAGAGTTTTGTCAAGTTTATATTAATTTAATTGTCATATTTTGACTGATTTTGGCGATTTTCAATTATTTCAACGCAGCATGGATCAGATAGCTCGCATAGTTTGCTGAAGAATGTGGCTTTTGCTTGGTTATTTTCGAGTTATCTGTGATTTAGTGCGCCGTGATCGTAGCATTATACAAATTATATCAACTTTAAAAATTGAGTCAACTTTTGAAGTGAAGTTCACATGAAAAACCAAAAGTTCAAGCATAATAATTGTTTAACCCTATTAGTGGCAGGGGGGGGTTGTTTTTATCCACCCCTCAGGTTTTTCGGGAATATCTCCGAAACCGCTGAAGCTACGATGCTGAAATTTTCTGACTTTTCCTAAAACTAAATTGGGCACATTCCCTGAAAATTTCAAGTTCATAACTTTACCAGGGGCGGCTCCAGAGCACTGGGAATTGGGGGGTCCTATTCGTGAAGCGAGTCATTTGGGCGAAGATCACGATGCTGCACCAGTTTTACGAACAGTGAATAAAAGGTATCATGTGATAACATATACAGTTATTGTGCATCCTCTTTTGACACGTTTTTGCTATAATAGGCGGATCCAGGCGTCCAAAAAGGGGGGTTATGTTTTACCTCCCAACATAGGTGCCCTGACACCGCCTATGCATTACCAATACAATTTTAGTCGTTCTCTCATAAGAAAATTATAACATAACAAGACCATTACCACCCTTTTTAGAAACAGTACCAACAAAAACCTTTTTTACTATACTTTTTGTGTACCGCCAATCTCAATGATCTGTATCCGCCTATGATTTTTGAAAATGCATATTTTTAGGATCCATGTGAATTCCTGATTCATTCTCTATCGATCGGCAAAAGTTGCGTTAAGATTGGTTCAGAAACCTGGCCGTGATAAACAGTCTAAAATGTATCTGCAATTTGCCCGTTTTTACCCCCCTCTACCCCCCCTATTGACATTTTTTAATTTTTATTTTTTAGAAATGTAGATCACGTTGAGCGAAATCGAATGCCGTTTGAATTTTGAAAATCGGCCCGTTAGATCTCGAGATATCAAGGGGGGGTCGTAAA